TGAAGGATGTCTTAAAATCTGAACTGGATTGAATTTATCCTCACCTCACATCTTTGACCTCAGCTACTGATATTTGGAGGCATGCTTCCTTCTACAGTGGAAGAACATAGGTATCAGGGGCACCAACTATAGGGAGCCCTGGGGGCCTCACAAAGCATCTTGCAAGACCTTGGAGATGCTATCAAAGGCCTTGTGAGACCTTGGAACCTGACTTCCGGTGGCACTGGAAGTCAGGTTCTGAGGTCACGGGGTGTGTGACATCATGACATCACATCACGATGTCACATCATGATGTTATGTCACATATGCTGGGCACCTATAAGCCGAGACCCAAGTTTGCATCCCTGATAGCTATTGAGGCAATCAAAAGATTTCTTCTTGACTTCTAAATGGGGACATTTGTGTACTGTGTGTTGAAACTGTCGGTACTGCAATGCCTATCTCTGGTGCTGCCACATTTGGAATAGAGTATATATTTCTGGTCACCACACTCTGAAAAGGATACTGTAAGTGCAGGAAAGAAGTATTTTGGTCTGATCTGTATAGGGAATCTCTTAATGTATGATGTTTTAATATCTGTTAGAAGCCTCCCAGAGTGGCTGGGGCAACCAAGTGAGATGAGTGGGATATAAATAATAAAATGATGACTGTGATGATGATGATGAACACCAACGTGCTTAACGTTTGCTGATCTAGCAATGCTCTTATTAAGTCCTTAAATCTGGAGACATAGGCCATTTCCAGATCTCAACAATACTAATAATATCCGGACCTATCCTTTGTGACATTTTGGTGGCCTAATAAAGATAGTGCCCCAAAATGGATTCTAGATTCTAACTTTTTAAGCGACTTTAGAATTATTATTTTTTTTAATTAAGCAATTCAGATGCAAAATTCTAAACTGGAAAAAGGATTTTATACCATTGGGCGGGGGGTTGTTCCCAAATGAGGTTACACACAAAACAAGACAGTCCCTTCTCCACAGGCTAATAATCTAAACACAACACAACACAAGGGAAAGTGGAGCAGGAGGTAAGAGGAATAAAGCAATCTCAGGCACCTAAAATTAGCCTGTACCTGCTTGACATAACTACTGCCTTGTTCCTCTTCACTCCTGTTTCCCACCTGTTCCAAGACACCTGTGTTGTTCCTAAGGGTGGCAATGGATCAAGGTAATTTTCTTCTTTTGAATTCCCACAGATGGGGAGTCGGTCACTGTACGTTAGGAACACAGGAAGCTGTCCATCAGTAGTATCGTACACTGACTGGCAGCAGCTCTCCAGGGTTTCAGGCAGGGATCTCTCCCAGCCCTACGGGGAGATGCCATTGGAGACTGAACCTGGCATATTCTTCTGCATGCAAAGCAGGTGCTCTGCTGCTGACCTATGACCCCTCCCTTTTTCCTTCTTATTTCTCAGCAGCCCTTTGTGCACCCTGAAACCTCACCACACACAGGTGCACCTCATTCTAATGTCTGCTATCTCCTCCCACATTCCATCGTAAGTCTCTTCCCTGTTGCAAACTCACAGCTTCATCTCCGCCCCTCACTCCCGCCCACAAAAGATCCCAGTTGCTTTGTTTACCCACTTTTCCTGGTAACTCAAAAGCTTGCACATTCTTTTGTGCCATTCTGGTTGCTCTAATGGTCTTCAGTTTTTGGTTTCTACCTCCTTATGAGTCAACCTACCTACCTTGGTTTTATTGCTCCAGCTGCTGTTGTGATGGTGACTTTGGTTTTTCCAGATACATTGCAAGACACCTTGGAGAGTTGTTAGTTCAGAGTGAATGAAATTCTGCATTGCACAGCAACTGTGTGGGTGCAGGAAAAGTGATGGGGCAATTCTGGATTTTCCTCTTTGAAGTCACCCTTTCTCTCAGCTGACTGTGAAGCAAAGTTCTGGATCTGCAAAGAATGAAAGAAGAAGTGTGAAGAAATGTTGAACTGGCAGCTATCCTTCACTTGCCTTACCCTTTCTACTTAAACCCCTCCCCCCCCCCACCGGATTCATGTGTTCTTCAGACCATGGCAAAACCTCTCACATTCCCAATATTTATTTTATTTTATTTATCCCGTTTCTATATTGCCTTTCCTCCAAGGAGCTCAAGGTGGAATGCATGGTTCTCCCTCTCCGCATTTTATCCTCACAACAACCCTGTGAGGGAGGCTAGGATGAGAGGCACCTTTGAACCCTGGTCTCCCAGGTCCTACTCTAACAACCTTCATTTCATTTTCATTTCATTTCACTTATAATTTGCATACCGCTTTTCTGTATTGCTACACAACAAGGCAGTTTACAGACAGAAGAAACAAGAAAATATACAACAAATATCACACATCTTACAACCATCTAATCCAATACAAGTCATACCAAAAATATGACTTAAAATAAACAACATATCAAATAATGTAGTATTCAATAATCCATTAGAATGTAGTGGCTGGGACAACCCAGCCAGAGAGGCGGGGTACAAATAATTATGATTATTATTATAGTACACAACAAAATCAACACTCAAGTATCAACAAATAATGATTGGAAATTTGCTCTCAACAATTACAATAAACCATTACTTAAATTATAATCAATAAAAATAGCAGTAGAATTGCAATACATAAAATACCGAAATACATAAAAAGCCATGCAAAAAGAAGCAATAAGATTAAAAGAATCCCTGCCGCCAAACTCCTCCCCTTCCAACTGTGTCTGGTCTTCTTAAAGCTCTTCCATAGGAGAGGCTGTGTTCAGCTGGATTTGGCTGTGGGTGGGGGAGCTAAAACTATTTTGTCCTCCTGTCCACTACTTGCTCCCTAGACTGCAAACATCTTATCCAAGCAATGCAATCGCATTTTTTCCCTAGCTTAGCTTTGCTTGTCCCTCAGACGCAAATGCTGTCCTGCTTTGCACTGTTTAAGAGTGCAAAGCTATACTGTGGGAGTCAACTCAAAAAGCAAGGAAACACAGACTTTGTGTGCTTCCCTTCAGGAGTGCCAACTTGAATAAAATATTATGGGGGCGCAGGTGGGCTCCGCCCCACATAATCGATCACATGACACAGCACACACAAGACCATTTGAATGGCAATGCCCATCAACTTTGCAGGGGCCTGGCCCCCTCAAATATTTTATCTTGGGGGCCAAAGCCCCCAGGGCCCCTAGGAGTTGGCTCCTATGGTTCTCTTTAAAAAAAAAGATGGAGCTGAAAAGCGTACTTTGCAAAATGAATGAATGTTATTGCTCCAAATAAAATGAAATGTGTGGATAGAGGTTGAGAGGGGAGAAAGTGAGAGATTCTGAAAAGTTAGCAGAGACATTTCTCTCCCTCTCCCTCTCCCTCTCCCTCTCCCTCCCCCCCCCCCCAATTCTCATACACACACAACAGTCCGTGATAAAGAGCCAGGCAAAAATGAATGGAATGGTGGATAATTGGACTGAAAGGGAGGAATAGATGGAGGAATAGATGCCAAAACAGTCCTAAAGAGGCAGTTGATGATGGATTGAAAAGAAGGCTCAGTGGACAGATGGTTCTTTAGCATCTTGCTGCCTACTTTTCCTTCCTGGGATCAGGCACAGATTTTATCTTTCTGGCCTTCTAAATGGAGAAGCTCTATGCCCCCTGCTCTTGCCTTCGTCAGGGCTCTGACTCAGTGGCAGAGCACCCACTTTGCAGGTGGAGCCCAGGTTCCATCTGATGGCCTCTGCAGGTTGGGATGAGAATGTCGCCCGCCTGAAACCATGGAGAGCCACTGCCAGTCAGTGCAGGCAATACTGAGCTGGTTGTACCCAAAATGATCTCATTCTGTACCAGGCAGTTTTCTATGTTCTTATCAAATCCACCCTTAATACAAAACTATGAGGACTAGTACCTTGTTTTGTTCTTAGAAGAAGAGCTGTAGCTCCGTGGCAGAGCATCTGCCTTGAATGCAGAAGGTCTCAGGCTCAACCCCCAAAGGCATCTCCAGGCAGAGAGAGAGAGAGAGAGAGAGAGAGAGCAAGCCTCTGCCAGTAAGGACTTGATGGACCAACCATCAGATCCAGATGAGTGCACAATCTGTGTACACAAACCAACTGAGCTGCACACGCCTATGGTACTTAATGTGCGCTATTCAGCAAGGGTACCATCTATGTACATTAGTGCAAACCGACTGAGCTGCACACGCCTATGGTACTTAATGTGCACACTTATCTTATACAGGAGTAGATTATTAGTTGATTGTATGGTGTTACAAGGCAGCACACTGGGGGGGGGTGTCAAATTTTGGCAGCCTTTACCCCCACCCCCACGCAACAGGACAGTGTCCAACCTACGGGTTCTGTACTTTTTCGGCCCACTTGGTTTGAAAAGTTGGGCTGTTCTGGGTTGGAGTCTCTGGGACTAGGACCCGGGAAAGACCAGGTTTGAAGCCTGCTCAGCAGTGAAGCTCCTGATGGGTGACCCTGGGGGCCAGTCCCTGCCTCTCAGTCTAACCGACCTCACTGGGTTGTTGCTGGGCTTAAGTGAGAAAGGGGAGAAGCATGCAGGCCACCTTGATCTCCTTGGGGACCAACATGTGGGACATAAATGTAAGAAGTAAATAAATAACCGAGGCAGCTTGGACTCCACCAGGCTAGTGTAAGGAAGCTCCCGCCGCCGTTGTGAAAAATCCATTTTAAAATTTTGAAGCGGGTGAGGGAAGCCTTGCTAGAGAGGGGGCAAGCGGGAAGGGCGGCTGGTCCGCAGATGAGCAAAGGGGGGAAGGGGGGGGGAGGAAAGAAGTATGGGACGCCTGAGCGGCAGAGACGAGGGGAAGTGAACTTAGACGTGAATCCATTGAAGAAAAGGGAAGCGACAGAGGAACGTTTGAACGGCTACCTGTCCTCCTGAGACCAGGGTAGGCTCCGATTTGGGGCGGGGGGAGAAATTGCCTGAATGGAGAAGTGGAGGCGGGTGACGGGTACGCTGCTCCGCGGCCTCCTCCCCACGTGCTGTGCCCAAACGGGACGGGACATGACCGGGTGGGGGAGGGGAGGGGCCTGCCCTTCTCCCGGTTCCACCTGTAAGGTCCCTCCCGGAGAGGTGGAGGAGGAGAGCAGCTAGGGCGGGCCCGGCCTGCCTCGCCCCATAAAAGCTACCTGGACGGGAGGGCAGGAGGTAGCAGTCTGCGAAAGACTCCGGGCTTCGAGCACAGACAGCAATGGGGTGGCTCAGCTTGCCGTCTTTCATGCGGTGCGGCAACAAGGAGGTGAGTCCGCAGAGTGATGAGCAAGATGCAGCCCAACAGGCGTCGCCGGCGTCCGGCCGGACGCGCAAGGAGGGACGGGAGGAGGCTGCTCGGAATAACCAGGATGCCCCGCAAACAAACTGTGGTGCCTCGACTGAAAAGTCCGCCTCCCCACTAAATAACATGGGGCAGCAAGCCGGGGTGGGTGGAAGCTCCTAGGGGCTCCTCCATCATATGTGGTAGAGGTTTAGATTGTAAGCTCCTTGCGGCAGGTAACTTCTGCCTATTCTCCTCCTCCTCTTTGCCTGTATCCTTTTTCAGAGCGCAAGAGGGAAGTTTTGTGTGCCCCGTTGCCCATGCATCTTTGCACCCCCTGTGCATCAAAGCCCCCTCAGTTCAATGGGTCGCTCATTCAAGTTGCAAGGAGGGGGCCGCTTCCTGTAGTATGAAGGATTCTACATTTAGAGCGAGTTAGTGATGGGTAGTTTCATTGGAGCCAACTCCGAGGGACCAAGGTACCTTTGATTCCGTCCCCCTCCCATAAAATATTTGAGAGGACTGCCTCCCCCATTGATGGGCATTGCCATTCAAATGGTGTGTGTGCCCCGTGTAATGTGATCGATTATGCAGGGCGGGGCTCCCGCTCCATATTTTATTCAAGTTGGCACCCCTGGTTAGTTTAACTATGGTAGTTTTTTTTATCTGCTCCTGATTTGCTTTTGGATATATAGATACTTTGGGATATATAGACACAGATATATGACGAACAATAACTTGCAAATCAGAAATGCTCAATTCTTACAGCAAAGGGTTTGGGCTTGTGCCTTCATCACTTGCTCTGCTTTTTGCTACAATAATTTAAAAGTCCTGCTTGGTAAGTCACTGGCATAAATAGATGGTTTTAGTCAGTGCCTTAGTTGGGGGGGCGGGGCTAGCCAGGTTTTTTGCCTTGTGACTCCTCCAGAGGGGCGCCATTAAGGCCCTGCCTGTGTGGGGGTTTGTGGGGGGTTGCACGTGGGCTTGGGGTGCCAAACTGGGTCTTTGACCCGAGTGAAATAAAGCCTGGTTTCACCCCTGGTTTTAGTGATTAACTGCGTCTTATCAAGATCCAGAACAAGGGAACAAGTGTCTGAACTGCTGTAGTTCGAGGCTCTCATTACAGTCTTATCGCTAAGTATATCGATATAGATACAGACGAAAGAACGAATAGCATTCTACCCCAGGGTGAGACCAGGGGTAGGGGAAACGGAGTCAGAAGCGAAAGGGGGAGCAAAGGCTTGCATGACTGAAGATTAGCAATTACAGCAGGGTTCTGGCAGCCCAAAGGCTTCCACAAGGTTGAACAGAAGAGCTTTGTTGCTTCCCCCTTGGGAACCTCTGATGGAGCAGAAATGGCCAAGAGGTAAAAGGGTTAACGTGCGCATAGTGAGGGATTTTGATGGGCGGTGACTGCTCAGTTAGTTAAGTATTTCTGCTGTTTTACTTGATCTGGGGGGCAACTACCCCCCTGCCCCCCCCCCGGCCATGCCCATGAGGATTGATCCTGGGTGGGTGGGTGTGTTTAAAAAAGTATCAGAACTAAAGTGGCAGGTGCATGTGAGAGAAGCATTGGTATTTTGTGCTGCAAACTGCCATGAGATCTAAAGGTGGCTGACAAATTTATTTTGACTTTGCCATATAATTAAAGCATACTTGAAACACACAACTCTCCCCCCCTCCAAAAAAAAAAAGGATTCTGGGAAGTGTAGTTAAGGGTGGTGGGGATTCTTGCTCTGCTGCGGGCAAATTACAGCTCCTAAGATGCCTTGGGGCCCTGGGTGCCTGAGCACCGCCTACAACATTCCCATGAATGGGCTGGGCACCCACAAATTTCAGCGCCAGGACCAGGCAAGCTGCGTGGTACCCACCACAGCCCCGGGCACCCACAGGGCAGGGCCAAGATGGCACTCCTGCCTTGGAGGAGTCCATGCTTTGCATGTAGAACTAAAGATTCTCTGCCTTTTTCTCAGCTGATTTTAAAGCAACAGCAGTCATTTCAGTTGCAGCCCAGGACATGCTCTGACCTGGATATCCACAGAAAAATTGAGTTATGTGAAATGCTTTTCTGCTTCACTGTTGCTGCTGTTGATTCTGGCCTGGTGGTGGAGAAACACAGGAAGGACCTGGCTGCTGGATCAGGTCTAAGTCCCACTGGCCCAGCTCCCCTTTCCGCCTCTGGGAAGCAGAAGCAGCCCATGAGTGCAAGAGCAACTCCCCCCCCCACCCCCCGCCAGCAGCCCCCTGGCATTCAGGCTCATCTCTTCCATCTCTGGCCTTTGATTGGTGAACCTTGAGAGCTTCGCCATGGGGGGCGTTATTAACCTTGTCCTTGGCTCAGGTGCCTTTCCTGAGTCTCCTGCCTTTAATTGCTGCATTGTTATAAGTGGCTTTCTTTTATTGTGTATTTCAATCATGGGTGTTTATAGTTTAATGTTGGTGTAACTTGGCTTTTTTATTTTGTAAACTGCCAAGAACATAGGCACATAAGAAGAGCCTGCTGGATCAGGCCAATGGCCCTGTTCTCACGGTGGCCGGCCAGATGCCCCCAAGGGTAGCCCCCAAGAAGGATATGAGCACAACAACAAACCCTCCAATGAAAATAGGGGTGTCCTAAATAATAATAATAATAATAATAATTATTATTATTATTATTATTATTATTATTATTATTATTATTATTATTTTGCTATTTGCTGCCCACTCTGGGCAGCTTCCAACATATTTAAAAGATAACCAAACATTAAACATTAAAAAAACTTTCCTATATAGGGCTGCCTTTAGAGGTCTTCTAAAGGTTGTACAGTGGTACCTCGGGTTAAGTACTTAATTTGTTCTGGAGGTCCGTTCTTAACCTGAAACTGTTCTTAACCTGAAGCACCACTTTAGCTAATGGGGGTCTCCTGCTGTCGCTGCACGATTTCTGTTCTCATCCTGAAGCAAACTTCTTAACCCAAGGTAGTATTTCTGGGTTATAAGAGTCTGTAACCTGAAGCGTATGTAACTTGAAGCATATGTAACCCGAGGTACCACTGTATACTTATCTCCTTGGCTCAGGGGGTCACATAACTCCATACTTTCCAGCATTTCTCTGGCGAAAAAAGGGACGTCTTAAGACATTCTGGGATCAAATAAGAAATTGGGATGGCTTCTGTCAATCTGGGACCATCCCTGGAAAATAGGGGCACTTGGAGGGTCTGCAAGAGCACTTTCTCCCCTGAGATTCCTAGAAACTGGTGTTCAGAAGCATTATGCCTCTTGTAATGGAGGCAGAACATAGTTGCCATGGCTGGTGAGCATTATAACTGTCGTTATATAACAAAATGGGTCTACTTGGGCCTTGTCGTGTATGTAAATTAATGTAAACTAATTAATATAAATTAATAAATATTAAGTATTGGGCTGCATCCAACTAAGTTTTACTCAGAGTAGACTTATTGAAATGGATGGACCTAAGATGGGCATATTCATTAATTTCAGTGGGTCTACTCTGAGTATATAATAATATAATAAATTAATATAATAATTGGCATGCATTCTTTTGTATCATCTCTCTCTCTCCCTCTCTCGCCAATGTTCATTCATGGACAGAATGGTGGGATGCAAAGGTTTTAATATAAATGCATGAATGACTTTCTCTCTTCCTTCTTAAAGGATTTCACTTTGTCTACTGAGAAAATTACCGAAAAAGATGAAGAGAGTGAACGAGGAAACTGGTCGCGCAAATCAGACTACCTCCTCTCTATGGTTGGCTATGCCGTTGGCTTGGGGAATGTCTGGCGCTTTCCATACCTCACCTATAAGGATGGAGGAGGTAGGCTTTCTGTTTGTGCTTCCTGTGTCAGTGGCAAGGCCATCCTAGAAAGAGAAAGTGGAGAAGCACCTTAGTGGAGCGTTTGTTGAAGTTGCCTGTCTTATAATGCATGCTGGCAAAGAGCTGCTTACCTACTCACCTAGAGTGTGTTGAAAGTGCCTTTAGGCGACCAGCCAAGTAAATTTCCATGAAAGGCATTTCTTCCCACTCCTCATCCAGCCCTTGAGACACAAACAGCATGAATGCTGCAGGCTAGAAATAACTTACATTGTGCCAAGTGTGGTTGGCACAAAAGGTGCAGTGCTTCGAGCAATGCCCACCAGTCCCAGTCAGCAAGGCTTTAGGGAGTGGGAGCCCCAAACACCAGATTTCTAGAAGCCCGGTTTAGATTTACGCAGAAGTTGGGGGTAATACTTTAACAACAGAATTCATCCAAATGCCTGTTTAAGGGTGCTTTTTTCCGGGGTGGGGGTGGAGCGATTATGATTCTCTGTGCCCACACCATCAGCAGGCTGCTAATCTGCCTATTCCCCAGTATGTTTGTGGTGCGTAACATTTTGTTGCCTTTGTATATGCACACGTCTTGGAAGGTTGCCTGGTCCAATGCTCACATTCTTTCCTTTTGTTGTCTTCTTGGCAGGGGCCTTCTTGATACCTTATACCATCATGCTGGCTCTGGCTGGGCTGCCTTTGTTCTTCCTGGAATGCTCGCTTGGGCAGTTTGCCAGCTTGGGACCCATTTCTGTTTGGAGGATTCTACCCCTTTTACAAGGTAGGCATTGTTACCCTTTCCACATTGGTTTCTCTGGGCTGCCATGAAACATCCACACACTCACACACATACACAACACTTCCTGGGAAGGTTTCTGTTTGTAGCTCTCTAATGCAAAACCAAGGGTGGTTTGTGCTCATTATTTTATTTTGGAATGTATTTTAATCTACCACCCTCTCATAATATATCAGGGTGGTGCAGAGCAACATACAAACATTTTTTTAAGCAGCACAGAACAGACAATTTGTGTGAGTTTTAAGCAACTGCATAGGCCTGCCATCAAGATAACACCTCTATGAGATGCCTGAGAAGTGAGGGTGCTTGCTGGATCCCTGCTGGAAGAGTGCCCCACAGAATGGGGCTGGTGACACTAAACGTCTGACTTACGGATGAAGCCATTTGGGCCATTGCAACGTGAGGGGCAACAAACAGCACTCTTCCGGGTGATCTCAGGGATTGGACCACAGGCAGTCCTTAAGGTGCCCTAGACCCAAGTTGTTCAGGGGTTTATATATCAGCACAACAGCCTTGAACATATGAATATAGGAAGAGCCATGCTGGATCAGGCCAAAGGCCCATCTAACCCAACAAACATCCTGTTCTCACAGTGGTCAGCCAGATGCCCCAATGTGGGTGCAACAGCGTTCTCCCCAGTTGTGATTCTCAGCAACTGGTATTCAGAGGCACACAGCCTCCAACAGTGGAGGGAGACCCATAGACATTGTATATTAAAAATGCACAGTCTGTCTCAATTGTACATTCCTGGTAAGTTCCCTTGAATCCCTCTTCAAAGAATAAAGAAGTCAATAAAAGAAGTTTACTTACATCAGTTCAGAGTTGAATCCCTGAAGGCAGACTTAGTTACAAATATGTACATGTGGATCTACCCCATATGGGGGAGTAATCCCAGTGTTCTGCTAGCTGAGAGCTAGCAGAGCAGTCCTAGCTAGAAGCTGGTCAAATGAAGAAAGAAGTGAAAAAGAGAGAGGTGTGCTGCGTGACTCGTCCTTTTGATACCTGGACAGGTTACATCACACCCACCTTCTATCACATGCAAAAAGAAGGATGCTCTAGCCAGGAGGAACGGGAAGTTTCGACTGGCTGAACCAAACACTCCCTCACACGTCTTCTCTAGCTTTTCAAGGAATGTTGCACTTGACTGCCTCTCATGGATTACATCCCACAATATTTACCCCCAAAAGAATTTGATCTAGAACTTGAGTCAATCAGTTTCCATCCACTCCGTCTTTTGCATCTTCCTTGTCTTGCTTGTGGCTTATTGGGAAAGCAGCAGAGGAAGCAAAATTGCATGCTTGGTGGTCAAAACTGTGCTACAATAATAGCATACGGGATATTCACCACCCCTTGGATGAAAAATGTTAAGAGGTAGGAGGCGTGATCCCTGGGGACCATTCATAAACTCAATAACACATCTGATTTGTATCCTCCTTGACTGCTTTTGCCTGGTTGGAAATGTGCCCTTAAACTCTTATCATGCCTCTTGCATAGGTGTAGAAGCCAGGGTACTGTACAGAGGTAAAATTAACATTTGTTGCTCTGTCCACTTTTGCATCTAGTATGTGGCCCCTGGAAAGGGATGCTTCCCTTAGGCTCAGTGTTGCCCATCTCTGCTCTAGAAAGTGCTTTGACCCATGTGGAATGCCGTTTTCAACTAGAAAGTTTGGAGGACGGTTTGGGCAGGAGGGATGAGATAGGGGCTCCCCACAAGCCTTATTCTCCAATCCAGTGAGTCTGTTAAATAATTTTGAGGGAACGAACATCATGGCCATTAGAAATGCTCTTCCTGCTCTTATCACGATGTCTCCTCTCTATCCCTTTAGGAGTCGGAGTCACAATGGTGATCATTTCAACGTTTGTGACCATCTATTACAATGTCATCATTGGCTACAGCCTCTACTACTTGTTTGCCTCCTTCCAAAGCGTCCTCCCTTGGGCAGATTGCAATCCTGAGTGGGCCAATGCAAATTGCAGCAAGACGAGGCTAGGTAAGACTTCCATAGCAGCAAGATTGTTCTTTCAAGCTCATTCAATAATCCTTGATCGTGTTGCAACTTATTTACAGTAAACTGATGCCGTGGTCTCTTGCTGTTGCTGAATGATGGCTTATTTGGAGTCTGGATTAGTGCATCATTTTTCTTTACCCCTCCCAAATGGTGCCTCAGTATATAAGAGCAATGTTGCAACAGTCCATCACACATCAGTGTGTGACCAAGAAACAGGGATGGACTCTGCAAATGAAGCGTGTGGACATGCATAGGTGGCACTATGCGGTTAGAAGCGAGTTTGTTTATCTGTGGCCAAGTCACCATGGGCAGAAAGCAAGCTGGGACCCTACTGCTAATGGTGTCCTCTAAGTCTGTAGTGGTTGGCAGGGTGGGGCAAGTGGCTCTTACCTGGGATGAGGCTGGCACAGTGCAAACACAGTGGCAGAACCAATCTGGGACTCCTACCAATGCATTTGTACTATGCTGACCTCACCACTCCTCCTTCTTTTGGGTAAGCTGCAGCAAAACTGGAGACGGGAGGTCCGCTAAGCACCGGTGGCCCCCCCAACAGTTACTACTTACCTCCCCCCCCCCCCGCCTGCATCTACTTCTCTGGGGAAATACAGAGTTTGCCTCCATGCTCAACAACTTCTGTTCATTTGAACCTCCATGTTACCAGTGTGGAACGTGGACTGATAAAACCCTGCAAAAGAGCAATCTTGATGTGGTCATATGTATGATTGCAATGCAAGGAAGCTCTGTAATGCAATGGTAGAGTAGCCCAGGATCTCCAGGCTGGGCCAGGAAAGACTTCCTGTAAAAGCCCTGGATAGTCAGTGTAGACAATATGAGTTAGATGGGCCTATGGTCTGACTCAGTCTAAGGAGGCTTCCTATGTTCAGTTCATTTTTCAGGGTGATCTACTGATAGGTATAGGCATCCATGCATAGTGGTAAAACACCACACCAAGACTCTTAATACACCTGGATGTGCAGTCACATTGAGATGGCCTGTTTTCTACAGTGTTTTAACCTATGTGTGCAAGTGCTGATGCAAACTGACAAAGCACCACATAAAAAGAACCAATGCAATTGGGGTGTTAACTGGTGGCTATCAGGTCCCCCATCATTTTCTGTAGGCCAATCTTCCCTGGCCTGGTTCCTCCAGTTGTTCCTGGCCTCCAGCTCTCAGTATTAGCAGCCAGCATGGCCAGTGGTCAGGGATGATGGGGATTCATAATACAGCAGAGAGTATAGGTTCCTACACTGCTCAGCACCAAATTACCTGGAAGACCTGCTTTATCTCTTATACATTCACTGTGCTCTGCAGAAGAGTTTCTCCTGCAAGTTCCAAAGATCTCAGAAAGCCTGCTTTGCAGTAACCTGGAGCAAGGCTTTTAGTGTGTTGCCCTGTCTGTGGAATAGCATTCTTGTTCATATACAACAGACGACCATCACCTGCACCTTGTAGAAGCCATTGGAGACAGTTTTGCTCCAACAGGCTTTCCCAGTTAGATAAAATGGCTCTTTACCGTAAGTGTTCACTGGTTGCGGTTTTAGTTTTGCTCTAAAGGTATTTGCTGTTTTTCTGTTTCTAACTGTTTTTGTCATATGTATAAATCACTCTGACAGTGGTTTGGGAGGTGATTAATAAATGTGACAATGCCAACAACCACAACAACATCCATCAACATCAAGGTCCCCATCCTTGCTTGTTCCGTACCGACACACACCCTTTGTGTCATTGCGATGGGCATTCTGCTCATAAGAAATGGTCAGAGGTCAAAATCACACTGGGGGTTAAAAATGTTTTTGCTGCTGTTGCTTCACATACTTGTTGTACCCCCTTCCTTCTGCAGAACTGCTGAGCAACACTTTTTTGTCTTTCAGTGTTAGACTGCAACATTACATTAGACAATGAGACTACTATCAACGCGAATTACTCTTGGGTTGAGAAAAACAACTACACCTGCATCAATGGCACAAAGGTGTTTGCGAACACCCAGGCTCCCAGCGAACAATACTGGAAGTGAGTCCTGGGCCTGTTGCTCTTCCAGTTGAAATGTGGTCTGCAGGTGTCATTGGGGTTGCCCTCAGTGGGTGGAGGGTCTGTGGCTCAACAGCTACACACAGAAGGACCTCAGGTTTGATCCTTGGCATCCCAGGTGGAAAAATGCCTAGTCAGTGTAGACCAGCATTCGCCCAACCTTGTACCGTCTGGATGTTTTAGACCACGACTCTTGTTGATGGCCAGGGATGATGGGCAGCAAGTGGAGAAAGAAGGTACAGACAGCATTGAGCTAAATAGGCCAGTAGTCTCACTTAGTCAAACTCTAGTACACATCAGATTTTTAAAGCACATTCAGAGCACACCACCCCAAAAAGAATCCTGGGTTCTGTAGTTTGTTATCGGTGCTGGGAACCTTAGTTTGGTGAGGGGTAATCTACCATTCCCAGGTTTCTTTGTGGGGAAGAATGTGCTTTAAAGGTCTGGTTTGCATACAGCCATAGGCAACTACCTATGACCTTTAAAACAATGGCATTGTGAGGTAAGACTCTGCTGACCCCCATTTTACAGATGGGGAACTGAGAAACTTGCCCAAGGTCACAAACATGAGCAACAGGGTTCTTCCATATCCAAGCTGACCTTTGTCCACCCACCTCTATCATCAACCTTTTTGCAACCCCCCCAACCCCCCCAATCACTATCTATCCTGAAGCAGTTTAACAACACAGGAGGGCAGATCCTGAAATATTAGGCAGTTTTGTCTCCCACCCAAAACTCATTGATCGTTAAGCATCTACCTAGGTGACCCCTTTGTTCAGGTGTATACAACCTGAAAGGGGCAGGCATTGGAGAGTGGCAATGACACCTGAACACAACTAATTTGCAGGTGTGTCACCTGCCCTGCTTCTTTTGTGCACTAATCATTATGGGTTGTGGCACATTTGCCCGATGAGTAATATGAGTAATAAGAGCTATGTTGTTAGTAAAACAACATGGTACAACCTCCAGAAGAGAGAAATGGATCCTGGTTTGCTTTGAGAAATGTGACATTGCCAATATTGCTTGGGAAACCTTGCAAGCTGGTGGTGGGACTTCACAAGATCAGTTCTCCAAGCTCAAAACCCAGAGGCAAAAAAATCAGTGCCCAGGGCCAGGATGAAAACCTGGCAAGCTAGATCTGGTTCAGACACGCAGACGTGGTGTATGACCAAGTCAAGATTAAGCTAGTATTTGTTGTCAGTGGAAATCTTGGTGAATCAAAACCAAATAGCTTCTAAACCCCTTTGTTTGGCCTGTAACATATTCTTAGGCCATTCTCCCATCCCTGGGTGAAATAAAAGTTCCTAAGCCAAACTGGGGTCTGCAGGATGCAGGAGCCCCTTTTGGAGGTTACACAGATGCCTCCTTTAGAACACCTCATTTTGCACAGCTGGCTACAGCACTCCGTTCTAAGTGATGTCTTTGCTGATGCTTCCCTTGTCTCCCCCAAGCAACAAGGTCCTTCAGCGTTCAAGTGGCTTAGACGAGACCGGGGAGGTTGTGTGGTACCTCGCCCTCTGCCTTCTCCTTTCCTGGCTGATTGTGGCAGTGGCCTTGTTTAAAGGAATCAAGTCTTCGGGAAAGGTAGGCTTAACCCAGACACGTTGGGCTACCAGCTGCAGTGCCAGCCTCCTTTGTGTGAGGAAAGAATACAATCAGTCCACCAGATCTGCTCTCCCTCTCTTTGATCAAGCCTGTGCTCCAATGGGATGCAAACACATTGAAAGGAAAACACTCAGATGAACTCCCTATCTCAAACCCTGGAGAGCAACTGCTTGTCAAGTGCATACCGTACTGAAGTTGATGGACAAAGCAGTTTCCTAAGTCCAGCCCTTTATTTAGAGTGAGGCACTGTTTTCAAGGGGAGGGACATAGGTCCATGGTAGAGGGTCTGCCTTGCATGCAGAAGGTTCCAGGTTCAATCCCCAATGTCAGGTAGGGATGGAAGGGAACCCTTCCTGAAACCTTCGAGAGCTGTGACCATCAAATAACCATAGAATCGTTGAATTGTAGAGTTGGAAGGAACCCTAAGGGCCATCTAGTCGAAACCCCTGCAATGCAGGAATATGCAACTGTCCCATACGGGGATCGGACCTGCAATCTTGGCATCATCAGCATCATGCTCTAACCATCTGAGCTATCTAGATGTAGACGTTACTGAGTTAGGCAGACGAGTTGTCTGACTTGGTTTACAGCAGCTTCCTATGCAGCAGTGGTCAGGCCCACTCTAGAAAATCTAGAATAATTTTGGATAGTTCAAGCACCTTTGGGCACCAAAGCAAGAGCACCAGCAGCCACTGCCTAGACTTGTGCTCTCAGATACATGAGCTTATGAGAGCCTGCATTTCTTTCCAGTCAGCCGCAATGGCATAATTGTCCCCTTGTTCCAATGTGGGATGTTCAGGCTTGTTTCATACCTATCTACAGAATAAAAACCCCCTTGAGAAGAGGTTGTGCAGCATAGCTCAGAACTCCCTTGAGTTGGAAGAGGGTTCGCCTTCACACCATGCATTTAAAGCACTTTAAACCTCCCTGGCTTCTTCCATCAAAGAATTCTGGGAGCTGTAGTTTAAGGGCGCAGTGGCAATTTTCAGAGTGGTTTAACAGTCAATCCCTCTTCACAGGGAACTCTGGGAGCTGTAGCTCTGTGGGGGCAATAAGGGGGTCTTCCAACAGTTCTCAGCACCCTTAACAGACTACAACTCCCAGAATTCTTTAGGGGAAACCACAGCTGTTTAAGGCAGTATCATGGTGTTTTAAATTCAGGGTGGAGAGAGAGAGAGATTTAGAGGGTTATCCATCTGCACAGGGTTTCTGGCAAGTGGTGGTGGTGAAGCAATGAGAGGACTTCCTGTTTGTGAGAGCAGAACCAGCCTGGCTGGCTCAGTGATGACATCCTGAGAGTGCAATGATTATTCTAAGCACTGCTAAGCTCTGGGGCCGACTCCCTTTCCTTCTCCAGTCACTGAGAATCATCGGCAGGGTGATTCCACTAAAATTAGCAGTTAACAACGTGGCAGAGGAGTCTAGTTTGGCACGGCATTTGGGTTCTCCTAAGCAATTCTGCAGGGCCAACATAGAAGGACAAGTTTGGCAGGAAGCTGTGGGTTGCTCTTATCTATGTTGCTCATCTGGAGGTGATCCCAAGGACAAGAGCTGAGGCTCCTGTGGGGTATCACCTATGGGAGTGTCCTCACTTGTGCACACAGTCACTCACACACTTATGCATTCCAGAGAACCTGCACGCCTGCTCACAATTGCAGCAGAGGAGAGGGAGGCTGTTCCCCAGAAGGAAGTTTTGCAGTACCGGCAGAATTGAGGGAGGGGCCATCACAAATGCAGATCAGCTGCTTTGCATGTAGATAGAAGGAGCAGCTTTTACAATTATAATTATTTTCAAGAAATATTTTCTATAGGCAATCATTGCACATATTATTTAACAACTGTATGTATGTAATGCACAGTGCTTTATTTCTAGGGAAAATGGTGCCAGTACGCACCATGCCCCCCCATCTCTCCCACCCTGCTGCTTTTTGCCTGTTTGCACCCCCCCGCCGCCACCATGCTGGCCCCCACTTGCCCACCCACCCGCCCACTCCCTCCCCCCTTGCACCTTTGCCTGCTGCATCCTAGAAGTGCTTTGGCGCAATCCTTTTATGATCAGCAAAGTGCCTTCCAGGAACTTGCCTGACAATCACAAAAGGATTGTGCCAAAGCGCCTCTGCTCTGGCACCACCTTTTTACAATAATCAGGCACTTGGCGATGATAAAAGGGTCACATGAATTTGTAGCATGGGGGCGGGGGGAGAGGTGGCAGTACAGCCTACTGGTGCATACCATCTTTTTTAAAAAAGCACTGGTTTTATATTAAATAGCTCTGAGACACCATTTACTTACTTACTTACTTACTTACTTACTTACTTACTTACTTATTTAATAGAATCATAGTATTGTAGAGTTGGAAGGGACCCCAAGGGTCATCTAGTCCAACCCCCTGCAATGCAGAAATCTCAGCTCAAGCATCCATGACTGGTGGCCATCCAACCTCTGCTTAAAAACCTCCAAGGAAGGAGAGTCCCCCACCCCTTGGGGGAGTGTGTTCCACTGCCAAACAGCTCTTACTGTCAGAAAGTTTTTCCATATGTTTAGTCAGAGTCTCTTTTCTTGTAACTTGAAGCCACTGGTTAGAGTCCTACCCTCCAGAGCAGGAGAAAACAGGCATATTTCCTCCTCCATATGACAGCCCTTAAGGTATTTGAAGATGGCTATCATATCTCCTCTCAGTCTCCTCTTTTCCAACATATTATAATATCCAACATAATGATATTATCATTATCATTATTGTATCATTGGGTGATTGATGGGTGGGCATCTCTGCCCATCCGTCAGAATGACCTGTGGGTGCTGAGGGACACAAGGCATCCATCTCATTGGCTGCAAGTGGCTCCCTGCTCCAGATCTAGTGAAATCCTCCATTTAAGACTCGGTCCCATCCTGACTCCACCTTCTACATCCTCCTCCCAAATCCAAAATCTTGATCATTCTTTCATTTCTTTTCTCGTCATCACAGATTGTTTACTTCACAGCAATCTTCCCCTACGTTGTCCTTGTGATATTGTTGGTCCGAGGTGCCACTCTAGACGGTGCTCTGGAGGGCATTGAGTTCTACATTGGAAAGCAGTCTAATTTCACCAAGCTCACAGAGGCAGAGGTGAGTGTGTCCTGGCAGGTGGTGGAATTGGGCTGAGCACGGCTTCTGTAAGATATCAGATAACAGCACAGAAGGGCCACAGAAGGGTCAGTGTTAGAGCACTGTCTGGGAATGTCCCCTGCCTGAAAACCTAGAAGGCTGCTGCCCGTCAGTGTAGAGTGACAATACTGAGCTAGATATGCCCAGGGGTCTGACTAGGGCTGGATCTACATTGATCAGGAGAATGCTATAAAAATATTGCTTTCAGGGCAATTTCCCACTGGTGACAGATTGCTGCTCTACAGTGCCCTCACACTTTTATAACACATTTTTAACAGTATAACTCACCTGTGTAGATTAGTCCTAGGTAAGGCAGCTTCTTATGTACCATTAAATCAGCTCTTTATCTTCAACCAAGAGAAGCCTTACCTTTTAAGAGAAAGGTCATTGGTGCATGGTAGAACAAGTGCTTTGCATTTAGAAGGCCTCAGGTTCAATCCCCAACAGACTTTCCAGGGCTGGGGTGTCCTCTCCTTGAAACCTTGGGGAGGCCTGACCTCTTAACATCTCCATAACTGGGCTAGATGGACCAATGGTCTGACATTATATAAAGGAGCTTCCTATGATGTTCCTAAGAGGGATCAAGTCCCTGTTACCCCCTTTCCACACTACTGATAACAGGCAAAGTGGGAATTCCTACATACCTCCCCTCTGCCCCCCCCCAAAGTATGAGTTCCAGTGTGGCATTAAAAGTGCATCATTTCCCAGTCTGAACATGGCAGGCATCATTGCAAAAACTTCCTGTTGTCTAACATTGCTAGATGAAGAGAGCAGGGACGTTATATTTTAAAAAATAAATATGAGCAGAATCAGGCCACACACCTAAACTTCCCCTTGTTCCTCAGAGATGTTTCCTCCACTGTCAGAAGAGGATGTTGGACTAGATGGGCCCCCTTTGGCCTGATCCAGCAAGCTCTTGTATTCTTATGTTGGCTACCCCAGCCTATACCTGTGTACAACAGCCTTTGCGACACACATGCCTATTACATTGCAGGGATTGTGATGCAATAATATCTATATTGTCCACCCCCACCTCCATCTGTCTTTCTCAAGGTCTGGAAAGATGCTGCCACGCAGATTTTTTTCTCTCTGTCTGTTGCGTGGGGAGGGTTGGTCGCCCTCTCCTCATACAACAAATTCAACAACAACTGCTATTCGGATGCCATTTTTGTCTGCGTGATAAACTGCCTCACAAGCGTCTTTGCTGGTTTTGCGATTTTCTCCATCTTGGGACACATGGCACACGAGGCAGGGAAGAAAGTCTCAGAAGTCGTCGATTCAGGTAGACTGGAGAAATACTGTTTAGATCCATCTATGGCTGAGTACTTTTAAGGGACATTTAAAGCATGCGACACTTCCCCCAGCCCGCCCCCCGAATCCTGGAAACTGCAGTTTGTTAAGGGTGCAGGGAATTGCAGCTCTGTTCTCAAGATTCTCTGTGCTTTAATGTATGATGTGTTCATAGTTCATTCCTGGGTGAAGATGAACCAAATGCATCTGTCCTTGACAAGGAGGACTTTAAGTAATAATAATAAGTAAGGGCGGGAGGCTCAAGACAGCTGTCCTCCTGTAGCTCAGAATCTTCTTTTTTAATCCAAATTACAGCAATACTTTTATTTGCTCAACCAAAGTGCCAGCCTAATTGCTACTGGCTGCCAATTAATTAGCAGTTAACAGCCAAGTTACAGGTGCTGGCTTAAGTGTATAAAGCCCTGTGTGGCTTGTGACCAGGAAACCTGAAAGATTATCTCACCCCAATCAATTACTATGCTCTGCATGCGAAGGCCTACTTATCAGGAGATTTCTTCCACACAACAAAGAAATCAGGTCTTTTGTGTTGTGGTACCTATCCTATGTAACTCCCTCCCATTAAATATTAGACAGACACTTCCTCTGATGTTTTTTCCAGTGCCAACTGAACACCTTCCTCTTTTAAACGGAGATTTTCCCCAGTCTGTGTTTGTACTGGAATTATTAAGTTAGTGGTTTGCTGCCCTCGGTTATTTGGGGAAAGGATGAATCGGGCCTTATTTTAAGAAGCAAATGATTTGATGATAAATAAAATATCACAATGATAGTGTGCCAACTTTGGGGTTCTCCATGGCTTTTCATCACGCTAGATACTAAGCAGTAAAGGTTGGGTGGAGGAAAGGGCTGGCTGGTGTTGAAGCCATGGACCCTGTGTGCATCTGCCTGCATTCCTGACCTGGAATGTGGGGAGAGAAAACGGACATTCAAATGTGGCGCTCTTGGGTGTTATAGAGCAGCAGTGGGCTGTGGCAAGCATCCCCTACTTGTGTGTAGGGGTGGGGGAGAAATTCTATGCAGTTTGCATTTAAAGTTGGATCTATCAAGTTTGCACTTTCAAGAAGTATATGAGAAGCAGAGCACAGCCAGCCAGCCATCAAAATTTGCACTTCTCCAAATTTGGCAATGCAGCTCTCCTACCAACCAATGTTTACAAAAATGCTTATTTCAGAGAAAAGCATGCCTAAAAAATGAAAGCATACATGGAAATGACATACAAAAATTCATTCCATTAGGTATTTATTTATTTGTTTCCTGCCCTCCCCAGAACTGGGAAGTGACTTGCAGAAATGTTTGCAGTCAAAATAATATACCAAAAATGTGTTGATTAGGAACACACACACACAAAAAATGATGAAATACTGGCACATTTTCATGCCTCTGTACACCAAGAAAGTACACCAATTGCTTCAAGAATGTAGAGAATCTAAGACCAAAAAAGCAAATAAGCTGGGAGAAGCAAAATAAAAAAGATCTTCCATTAATTCTCCTGAGCTTTCTTAGAACTGTGACAAATTGGATCCTAGCCTTACCATGAGGCAGAGAGAGAGCTGAGGGTACAGAAGGATGGGGAGCGAGCACAGGTTTGTGTGCCCTGTGCCCTGCCCCATACTCTATATGGTCGCCCAGTGGTTTTTAACCTGTGTGTCGTGGCACTCTGGGGCGCCTTGAAGGATAGTCAGGGGTGCCGCGGGCAACCCTGGCTTCTGTCCCTCTTTCCTTCCCTCCCTCCTCTGATGCTCTCTGCCAAAGGCTTGCCCAGCTGTTTGTTGCAGCAGCCCTGGCTATAAGCTTCGCAGGCAAATGGTGCCTCTGGGACTGGTCATGGGGTGCCGGTTGCCAGGAGCTCAGGCAGCCTTGGAGTAAGCGAGCAAGTGGGTGAGGGAGCCCAGACAGCCAGCGCAGCAGCCCTTGCTGTTGGGAAATGGACAGACAAATGGGAGGCCGGGCAGGCAGGCAGCCATTACACTGGCCTTTCTTGTGCTCACTGTGTGCAAGGCCCGCCTGGGAGCTGAGTGCCCTGTGCTGCTGCCTCCCAAGGTAAAGTGCTGGCCTCATGTTCACCTTTGGTCAGTCTCCACTGGGCCGCTAAGGCTAGGAATGTCTTCTTCCCAGGCCCCTGTGGGGCGGTGTGAGGAGGCACCTCTCTTTGCGGGGGGTGGGGGCAGCTGCCCAGAGGACTCCCAAGGGGAGGGGAGAGGAGGCTGAGGGAGCACTTCACCAGGGATGGTGTTTGAAAAAGGGTGAGGGGCTGCCAGCTCTGCAGGCAACGGGAAGAGGGGACATAACTGAGCTCCTGAGCCCCACAGGGGAGCCACAGAAAGAATGTAGTTGGTCAAGGGAGCAATGGACCCAAAAAGGTTGAAAACCTCAGGTGCTACAGAGGATGCTTCCCCCCTGACATGTGGGGAGACGCCACCTTCTCCTTCACCTTAGGTGGCTAAATGTTCTTCTGTGCCAGCCCAGCTGCTCTGATGCAGCAACGCTCTGCTGATGATCTTACAGCAGCCTTGCCAAAACTGGTGCCCTCTAACCACTGGGCAGCACAGCTGGAGGATACTTGGTCATCTGCAGCCAGAGCCTGCTGGGGCACCTACTTTTGCTGTAACAGGCTGTGGGCGTCCGGGGGTTGTGGTGCTCTTGGGATATGTGTTGGTGGGGAAGTTGGAGCATTTCATTGAAACTGGAAGCAGAAAAAATCCCATCAGTTCATATATTCCAAGGCCAGAAACAGAAATCCCACAAGCAAATATGAGCGGCATTCGCTGTCATTGTGAGGGGTTTTTAGTCCACAAGCATTGAATAAATATGCTGTTTTCCTTCATTGAAATCAAATGCATGATTATGTAATTAATTGCATTAGTTTTGGCCATGGCAAATAGCAAGATGAACAAGGTAGATTTTAGCAGATGCCGAATTGCAGCAGAATGAATGGAATGAGAGCTGATTTTGATGAAACTAGGCTGGAGATTGCAGCCTCCCTGCTGCTCTTCCTTGATCCACAGCATCAGAGGCCTCCATTGGGACACTGCAAGAAACCACTTCCTGTTGCCTTCTCATCCCACAATTGTTTCTCTTCTGTTACAGGCTTTGATCTGGCGTTTGTTGCCTATCCAGAGGCCCTTTCGAAGCTCCCCGTCGCCCCCCTCTGGTCTTTCTTGTTCTTCTTCATGCTCCTGCTCCTGGGGCTTGATTCCCAGTTTGCTACTGTAGGTGAGTCATGCTACAAAACAAGCTGTTCCTATCTCAGCCACTCTTCCCTCTGACCTTCATGCTAATCTCCAGCCTTGATTCGCGCAGCTGGTTTCCTGATGCAAAGATGAAAGCTAAGCTGGCTGGGGGGGCCTCCGCCAAGGACTGGCTCCTTTTTTGTTTAAGTTTATAATTTTATTCTAGCAAGATTCCAGCCCCAGGCCTCAGACAAACTCTGCACAAGCCTATTCATAGGTGTTCATTTATATATTGCTTTTAAACCTAGTATGATGGGGAAATAGCAATAAAATCAATAGACTTTATAAACAAATAAGATTAGCAAGCAATATATACAGTGGTGCCTCGCAAGACGAAATATATACAGTGGTGCCTCGCAAGACGAAATTAATTCGTTCTGCGAGTTAATAAACTCTGGCTGTACCAAAGCCAAATTTGGTACAGCAAGAGTTTATTAAGTGCTCTTTAAAGTCACACATGCTGTAAAGAGCATTTCAAAATTCAAAGCCAGAATTTTTTTTAAAAAACAGCAGAGTGGCCCAATGGTCACAAAAAATCATAAAAATGCAGAAAAAAACACACAAGCTTCCAGATTCTTGCAAACCCCTCCCCAACTGTTCCCCCAGCCACCCAGCACACAGAAATTCAAATCCAGATTTTTTTTAAAAAAAACAGCAGAGTGGCCCAATGGTCACAGAAAATCATAAAAATGCAGAAAAAACCACACAAGCTTCCAGATTCTTGCAAACCCCTCCCCAACCATTCCCCCAGCCACCCAGCACACAGAAATTCAAATCCAGAAAGTTTTTTTAGAAACAGCAGAGTGGCCCAATGGTCACAGAAAATCATAAAAATGCAGAAAACAACCACACAAGCTTCCAGATTCTTGCAAACCCCTCCCCAACTGTTTCCCCAGCCACCCAGCACACAGAAATTCAAACCCAGATTTTTTTTTTAAAAAAACAGCAGAGTGGCCCAATGGTCACAGAAAATCATTAAAATGCAGAAAAAAACCACACAAGCTTCCAGATTCTTGCAACCCCCTCCCCAGCTGTTCCCCCAGCCACCCAGCACACAGAAATTCAAACCCAGAATTTTTTTTTAAAAAAAAACAGCAGAGTGGCCCAATGGTCACAGAAAATCATAAAAATGCAGAAAAAACCACACAAGCTTCCAGATTCTTGCAAACCCCTCCCCAGCTGTTCCCCCAGCCACCCAGCACACAGAAATTCAAATCCAGAATTTTTTTAAAAAAACAGCAGAGTGGCCCAATGGTCACAAAAAATCATTAAAATGCAGAAAAAACCACACAAGCTTCCAGATTCTTGCAAACCCCTCCCCAACTGTTTCCCCAGCCACCCAGCACACAGAAATTCAAACCCAGAATTTTTTTAAAAAAAACCAGCAGAGTGGCCCAATGGTCACAGAAAATCATAAAAATGCAGAAAAAAACCACACAAGCTTCCAGATTCTTGCAAACCCCTCCCCAGCTGTTCCCCCAGCCACCCAGCACACAGAAATTCAAACCCAGAAAAACCTCAAAAAAAAGTCTTGAAAAAAAGTCTTGAAAAACCTCAAAAAAGGCTACCACATCGCTTGCTATGAGTTGCTCCTCGAAGTCAAGTCGCAACTGTATTAATGGTTTTAAGAAAAAGGAAACAAACTTGCAAGACGTTTTCGTCTTGCAAAGCAAGCCCATAGGGAAATTCGTCTTGCGAAGCAGCTCAAAAAACGGAAAGCCCTTTCGTCTAGCGAGTTTTTCATCTTGCGAGGCATTTGTCTTGCGGGGCACCACTGTACAACAAAATTCCATGTCTGGGTAGCCTGGCCTGAACAGAAAAGTTGTATGCTTAGGATTGCACTCTTTAGTTAATAATTTATTAACATTTCAAACCTCCTCAAATGAACCCTTGATTAATCAGTCAGCAGAGATTGTATTAAATTTTATTTCATCAGGTTGCCACTCTGAACTGTCTTCCTAGGATTACAGTCCCTTAATCTCTGCAAAGCCTTCTGCGGAAATGAATTATTTGCAATGCCTGTTAGATTGGCGAACTTCCGCACATTTAAAGCACACAGCTTCCCCCAAAGAACCCTGGGAATTGTAGTTCTAGGGATTCAGTTCTTCATACCCTTGAGAAACAACAGTTTCCATTATTCTTTGGTGGGGAAGTTGCACACTTTAAATGTATAGTGTGTATAGTGCAGCTTGAAATGATAAAATAAATCAGTAGTACTAATGCTCACCATGCCCACCTTATCCTGCAGAGACCCTTACAACCACCATCCAAGATGTTTACCCCAAACTTATGAAGAAAATGAGGATCCCAGTTACCTTGGGCCTGTGCACCGTGCTATTCCTGCTTGGGCTTGTCTGTGTTACGCAGGTAGGAAGGAGCAAAGCCTCCATGGGCCCACCTTCTCCCTTGAGGATAGAATTTGTGAATCTCTCATCTCAGGGACAAAGGGGGGTGGGAATCACTATAGCCTTTTCCAGATGACTGTCCTATTGAGCATGCACCCTGGTTTATGTGCATGAAGCTTACACACTGGTCAGACTGTGGCTCCATCTCCACTATGCATTTAAAGAACTGTGGTAGTGCTTTAAACAGTGATGGTGCTGAGAGTTGTTAAGAGAACCCCTATACCCTCCTCAAAACTATAACTCCCCAAGTGGTTTAGCACACTCGTTCCCTCTACCCAGGGAGCTTTGGGAGATGTCACTCTGTGAGGAGAATAAGGATCTCCTTAACAACACTCAGCACCCATGGCAAACTACACTTCTAAGGATTCTTTAGAGAAAGTCATGATTGTTTGAAGTGGTGTGATGCTGCTTTGAATCATGGCCCAGCTGATGCCCTATTCCCATCATTATTGAGTGATCATCCTGGTTGGCTGTGCATGTTCCTGCTAAAGATTTGTGCATCCTGCACTTCTCAGTGCATTTCCTGTCACTTCCCTAGCTGCAAAAAGTCTTTTTTAAAGGGAGAATAAGCATAAGAGGATTTGTCGTGCAAGGGCAAGAGAGTGCCCTTTTAACTACGTGAGGCTATATTTCTGAGATGTGATTCAGTCCCTCCTGGAAGTAGTGACACTCAGAAGAAGGAATGGGGAGAAATTAATTTGAAGTTTGGGTTTAAAGATAAACCCACTGGATTTCCAAAACAGTATACAAACTGAAACACACCCATGCTCCCAAATTCATCTTCCTCCGAAATTTGCAATGCAGTTCTCCAGCCAAGTACTGGGTACAAAAATTGCATCCAATTTAAATGCATATGCTGTTGAAAATAACACGAAAATGCATTACAATGGAGGAAATGGCTTTGCAAAAATGTGTATATTAGGCAAAACTGCATACAATAAACGTGTATATTAGGAAAAAAATCACACTAAAATGCTGATAAATTTTCATGAAGATTTAAATGAGAAATTGCTGCATTTTGTTAATGCTACAAAAATGTGAACTGAACTTAAGAACTTGAGAAACAGAGGAAACAAAAATTGACAGACTTGTCCATCCCTAATCTAGAGACACTTGAGAGAGATCTGTGTGAAATGGAACTAACTTTTCTGCTGCCTTTCATCCTGTTTCTGCAGGCAGGGATCTACTGGGTCAACCTGGTGGACCATTTCTGTGCTGGCTGGGGGATCCTTTTTGCAGCTGTCCTGGAGCTGGTGGGGATCTGTTGGATTTATGGTAAATGATGAATGCCGTGTCACCCAGCCCCTAATAAAACACTAACCTCACCAAACACTCCCCAGTTCCAAAGCAGCAACAGCAACTTGATGATTAGGAAGGCTTCATCAACCTCAGTGGTGGAGCTTCATGCTCTGGCACGGGGGGCAAAGAGCAGGTGGGGACAGACTGGCGTGTGTCCTGGGGGTGGTGCGCTGCCCGCAGGGGCGTTATGTGCGTCCTGGGGGCATGGCGCACCACCTGTGGGGGCGTGGCACCCAACGCGGGGGGGGGCAGCTGCCATGGCACCCCACCGGGATTGTGGTGCCGGGGGCAGTGCGCTCCCCCCACCCCCTCTTCCTCTGCCAGTGATCAACATTTAACATCTAACTTAAATTTTGATAATTCAGTCTCCCAAATGCATTGCTTTATATGCTACCTCGCCCTGGTCAAATGGCTAGACCCAGTGACACCCATAATTGTAAGATTGAATTAGCAGCTTTGTTTGTTTGTTGCTTTTATATCCCTTTTTTTCCCTCCAAGGAGCTCAAGGTGGTGTATATGGTTCCATCATGAAATTCTACTCAATATTGATCCAGAGCAGAACTCCAAATATAGTTAGCAGAATAAAAACTTCAACACATTGCAGGATTCCCCCCAAAATAGACCAGAGGCAATTATATTTTATCCAGAAAAGTTTTACTGCTACTGAAGGCAAATGAGCATAACGGTTAAAGATCCAATAGATTCAAGATTGGCACTGTCCATAAGAAATCCAGTTGCAGCAGACTTAACTTAAACTTACAATAACTTATAATAAGACTAAACCTTAATACTAAGCACACTATGTACAAAACACCACACCAGAAGGAAAAGAGATAAAAAGAGACAGTTAAACCCAGGCTCCTTCTGGCCAATTATCATAGTCAGCACAACCTTGACAGAAAGAGATAAGAGAACCGGTTTAAGCCAGCTGTACTCAGCGCTCTGAGGGTATAACCCAAACACCAGGAACCTTCAGCTTGTTTATTTCACACATCTAATCATCTAATCCCTGCAACAACTCTGTGAGGTAGACTAGGCTGAGAGGCAGCAACTGGCCCCCAAGGTCACCCAGTGGGTTTCATGAGACCCTGGTCTCCCAGGTGCAAGTCCAGCACTCTAACCACTATGCCTGTGAGAAGGGGCTCTGTGGCAGAACACTTGCTTTGCATGCAGAAGGTCCCAGGTTTAATTCTTGCATCATCATCCTCGTCATTACATTTGCGTCCCATCTTCCCTCCACAGAACTGAAGGTGCATACATGCTCCTTCCCTTCCCCATTTTATCCTCACAACGACCCTGTGAGGTAGGCAGGGAAGGAGTGCGGAGGAATCGCAGGACTCTAGCATGGAGTCACAGGATCTGATCCAAGCCGGTCACATCTTGGATTAGATTCTGGAATCCACTCAATCACTCCAGTCCTGTGCCTTCTCTGTCTGTTAACATCTCTCCCCATCTTAAAACACTTTAGCAGCAGTTTTTCAGCCACTCCAAGGCAGAAACCTCAGTGCCACACACCTGCAATTGAGGACAGTCTGCCGGCCATCCCATCACTCTCAAGGGGAGTAAAAGAAAGCTGACTCTTCACAAACACAGAACTAACTCAGCAGTTTGTGTCCCCCTTGCACAGGTGGAAACCGATTTATTGAAGACACTGAGATGATGATTGGGAAGAAAAGCTGGTTGTTCTGGCTGTGGTGGAGAGCCTGCTGGTTTTTCATCACACCTTTCCTCCTCCTCGTAAGTAGCCAACTTTTAGCAAGAGATTTCAGTAGCTCTGAGGCTGGGGGGAGGTAGAGCTGGGCTTACAGGGAACCTCCGTGGGTCATTTTTTTCCAGCCAAGCTTCCCCATATTTTCCCAAATCCAAGTCCCTAATCTCCACAGCTGACATCATATATGGTGTCAGGTATTGGGCAGGTGGCAACATGGCTGGATCAGCACCTCGCATGGTTGATTCCTGCAGAAAGCAGGATTAAACTCACATGCACATCTAGGGATGCTTTGGATGTGTGAGATGTCCGCCCCGCCCCCTTGCAGGAAACTGCATTGCACACCCAAATCCTGCAGAATCTGGCTCACCAGCAGAAGCACAGGGAGGAGCTTAATACTACTTGCTCCCACTCCTTGTAATGCCATGACGTATAATATTGGAGGTCTTTGTAGTCTTTTTGTGGGCTGCCCAGAAATATCCTGGCTGACTGGATAAGCTCCTGGGCTAGAGGGAGCAAAATATTTCCCTCACCCCAGCACTCCCATGAGATGCCTCTCTTGGGGGGGGGCATGCGTTATCTTGGAATGGTTCTTAGGTACACAGAAGGAAACAAGCCACGTTGATTTTAGGCTTGGCTGCACCACTGAAGACAATGACATTGACTCTCCTTGGCACTCTGCAAACATTAAGCATGAATAGGTGAAGGATGGGGCCATGCTCAGCCATGTTCAAATGCAGTGTGAAAACAGGCCAAGGTGAACTTCTCTCCCTGGTGCAGTTGCCAGACATCTAGGTCTGCTCTGAAGTCTCCAGGTTTGCCTGGTGCCTCTTCAGGTGTCAGGTGGAGAGCTTGAATCTCCAGGTGAGCAAGAGTACCTTTAATAAAAATATATATAGTAAGAAGACAGCGCAGGCTTCAGTTTGGCAGGAGCTGGCTGCAAATGATAGCACAAACACTTGGGGGGGGTTGCCCTCCTCTGCTCCCCTCTTCCAATTAGCGTCCATCTCCAGGCCCACCTCATGACATTACCAGGGGCCACCAGCTCTACAGCTGTGGTTCAGTCTCAGATCCTGGCTTTCCCTTTTGGCCAGATTTTGAGGTTACGAAACCAAGTCTTGAAAGCTGGGCCTAAAACATGTCTGATCAGGTCTTGTTCAGTGCTGCACATGCAGCTTAGTCTTGGCTAAGTTTGACTCTCCTGTTTCTCTAACTTTTTTTTTCAAACAGGCAATTTTGATTTGGTCTTTGGTCACATTTGAGCGCCCAACATTTGGCTCTGTGGAATACCCAGTTTGGGGAGCTGCTGTTGGTTGGTGCATGATCATGTTCTGCCTGATTTGGATTCCCATCATTGCTATTTACAAGATATCAAAAGCAAAAGGGAGCTTGTGGCAGGTGAGTGCTTTGAGTTATCATGAACTCTGCTCTGATGGGATAGTCGCCCTTCTCTGGGTCCCTTCAGATGTCCTTTAATTGTGCATTCGTGATGATTTGTGATCACAATGCTATTGAAGTGGTTAGACGCAATCCTGATACTGTTTGTGCCTGTAAAGATTTTGGGGCAGCTTCATTTCCCATCAGTGCATACCCTGTAACTTCCGATTGAAATTCCTTAACTTTTCATACCACAAATGTTTTGGCAGGCGGGTGCCCTGCTTTTGTTTTGCTGTAGCCCCTCCAGACATCAATAATGTGATAGCATTGGAGAAACTTCACAGACTAAACTAAAGCAGATAAAACCAGCTTTTACTGCACTTTTGTTATGTTAAGAAAATGTTGCAGAATACACCCACAGTAAAACATCAGCCTGGAGGCACCCAGAGGCACTGAGTTCAGCCAGAGCTGAAACAATAGCAAATAATAATGCATATGTAAATTCCCATGAATGCTAGGACAATTTTGCTAAGCAATCTAAAGCATTGGTTTATAAGCTTTCTACTTTCCGCAAAGACTTGCTGGCCAAGAAACCTTGCATAGGCAACAGCTCCAGGGGGCCCAAGGCTCTTTGCCCCCCCCCCCAATCTTTTTCTTTTATGAGGGAGCTGGCCCCTCCCCCAATTGTTGAAGCCTAACATGAAGCCAGACGTGGAGCGACATCAGATTTTGTGTCAGCTCCTCAATGTTCTTGGGAATATGGTGCCTCTGAACCCTTGCATGGCGGCTGCTCAGATTCCTGTCCCTTGGGGTCCTGAGTTTTCATGTCACATACTGACACAGGCCATGTACCTTCCAGTCATTCTTCATAATGTTAAGGACTAGAAACTTGTGGACACTTCTCATAAGGGCATGGAGCAGGAGTGGTGAGGGATGTGGTCTGAGAAGAAAGGGCATGGTCTGGGGAGAATCCCAGGGGCTAGATAGAATGGCCTGGGGAGAGGAGCCACATTCATTCCCCCACAAACCTGAGGTTCCATACTACTGACCTAATCTGTTTGGAGGAGCTATCTAAACCAGAGGCTTTCACCTACACACCTTGCAGCAGAGAATTGTGCCAGGCCTCTTGGGTCTGCTACTAGGATGACACCTCTAGACTGAACCTTCATTCCCCCTTTCTGGTTCTCCCCCTTCTAGCGCATTACTTTCTGCTGCAAGCCCCAGCCCAACTGGGGTCCCGCCCTAGAGCGCAATCGTGGAGAAAGATACCGCAACATGGTTGACACAGAGAAGGAGAAAGACATCGAAATCCCGACTGTGGATGCCTACGTGCACAAGCCAGAGTGAAGTGGCCCGTTGGGAGGCAATTGGCACTCATGTGCAGCAGAGAGAGTGGGTTTTTTGGGTTTGTGTGAACGGGGTTTTTTATATATATATATATATAATGGAAGCCATATTATTTATTCTGAGAACTGTATATTGTGATAGATCAATGGACAGCAAGTCAACGGAGCGTGGAGGCAGGTTCTTCGTCGCTAACATGTACTGCCCTATTGACCTGCCCAGTTGCTAGATATAGTGAGGAAGACAGCATGTCTCCTGACCCCTTAGCTGGTGCTAAAACTGGTCCATGCTATGCATGGGGAGAGCTGGAAGAAGTTCCAGAGTTTAGTCCCTGTTCCCAGGGGAGGCTGTAACATAGATCTTGCTAGGAGTGGGCTCCATTCCCTAACCCATCATGATCCATTCCTGTAACGACCCTGCAGAAATCCTCCCCGGAGTCTTAATCCTCCACTGAAAAAATAAGGGCAGCAGCCTTGCCCATCCTAACAGGCTTTGTGATAGGAATACACTTCCATAATGCTCGAAGGTGATTCAGTATCACACAAGTGCCTTACCTAGAAGAAAGCATTGTTGAAGTCAGTGGGATGTAATCCCAAATAGATTAGTTTTTTGACAATTAGCTATTGTTTCTGTATTCCTGTTCCTGGAACTATGTGTATGATACATCAGATCTATATCTGTATTTCTGCATCCAGGCATTCCAAATTTGGCACCACAGAAACCTGAGTGATGTGCACTTTTTATTTTATTTTGCATAATTTATTGTTTTTATCCTCTTGCAAAATAATGATGATGATGATCAGATTTTCTTCTTGATGTATAAGCCAGGTGCTCTCCACCCCTCATGCAGTTGCTAAAGATCCAGCCAACTCTTTGGCTTTGGGGGATTTCAGAAGAAGAAGAAGAGTTTGGATTTGATATCCCGCCTTTCACTCCCCTTAAGGAGTCTCAAAGCGGCTAACATTCTCCTTTCCCTTCCTCCCCCACAACAAACTCTCTGTGGGGTGAGTGAGGCTGAGAGACTTCAGAGAAGTGTGACTGGCCCAAGGTCACCCAGCAGCTGCATGTGGAGGAGCGGAGACACGAACCCAGTTCCCCAGATTACGAGACTACCGCTCTTAACCACTACACCATACTGGCTCTCAGCTGGTGTTTCTGCCACACCTTTAAGCATATTGTTACAGTCCCAGCAATATAGGCTAGCAGCTTGGTGTTTGGAGTTTGTTCTTCAAATGCGGCACTTCAGAAGCTGGGTCCTGTGCCTAGTGCCATATTCTGTGCTTTGTGGCCTTAGTTAGTCTCAGAAAGCCCAGAGTGGCTGGCTGGCCAGCCCAAAGACCTGACTTTCACGATGCTTCTGTTCTGCCTGATCTTGTATTGAGCTGGTAATGGCTGTGATCTTCTCAAGAGGCTCTTCCTTTCATCCATCTTCATCCCCATTCTCTCCTGAATCTCTAATTTGTGAGTGTCTCTGGAGAGGGTCATTTTTCTTAAGGATGTTGCACAAGTTTGTCAACACTTGTTTTCTAGTTTTCTTCAAAAATGCCATTCTTTAAACCCTCAGGCAACCTGAGTTACAAAGGAACTTTCCCTGAAGCTCCTGCTATAAGTTTTATGGCATCAAATTTGTTTACTTCCAAAAGAGAAAAGTGACTTTAAATATATATATATTATTTCAGAATGTTGTTGTTGTTGTTGTTAGAAGATAACTCAACTGGTAGAGCCTGAGGCTCTTAATCTCATGGGTCCAAACCTTTGGTTGGGCAAAAGATTCCTGCATTGCAGGGGGTTGGACTAGATGATCCTTGTTGTCCCTTCCAACTCTACAGTTCTGTGGTTCTATAATGGGATACAGCAAGATGTCCATAGCCTTGTCCCACTGAACACCTGGGAGGGGGAATGTCCAGCTCTCCAGATGTTGCTAGACAGCAATTCCCATCATCCCCAGCCACTGCCCATGCCAGAGAGCTACAGGTTCCCCATAAAATCTAGAGGACACCAATTCTTCAGCCCTGGCCTATGCTCTGAAAGATAACAGCCTCTTTGGGCCCAGGGTGGGGGAACAAGAACACTCTTCCTTTGCCCCCAGAAACAGGTCACATTCACAACATAAATTTAAAGCAGGTGCTGAGAATTGTTAGAAAACCTCTATTCAACTCACAGAGCAACAATTTCTAGAGTTCCCTGTGAAGAGGGATGGTTAAGCCTCTCTAGGGAGTGTAGCTCTGTGAGAGGAACAGGGGTCTCCTAATAACTCTCAGTGCCATTAAAAAACTACAGCTCCCAGAATTCTTTTTTCTTTTTTTGGGTGGGTGGGGGGAGCCATAACCGTTTGAAGTGGTGTCATGGTGCTTTCAACTCATAGTGTGGATATGGCCACCATTTGTCCCCAGATGTTTGATTCTGGGTGTGTGGGTGGTAGAAAAATGCCACTGCAATGTGGCAGGATGTTCCAGCTGCCGTACCAAGCGGTTGCATGACCACTAGACCCACCTTCCTTCCACGTTTCCTGTCAATTGTAGGCCAATGTCCTGGAAGTCTACTTTCACTGAAAAGAGTCCTTTAGCTGCCTTCACAGTCCATGACATAAAATAGGGCCAGGGCACTTTCTTTGCCAGGGACACCGAGCCTCTGGTGATAGGTGGGAAGCTCTGGGTTTCCCCCAGGTGTGTTTTTGTACTACAAAAAAACATATTGTCTGTTTTGGGAAATGAACATGTTGCCATCTCAAAACCAATAAAATTTCTGTTTGTTTGTTTTTGACCTGCTTGACCCCTTTTCCCTTCACAGAGCTACAATTCTCAGAGTGGTTTAACAATCAGAATTGTACCTCTGGTAAACCCTACTACTCAAAAGTAAGCACTGTTTAGTGCAAAGAAACTACCTCCCAGGTAAATCCGCCCAGAAAGGAGAGAAAGTTGCAACTGGAAATGAACAGCAGTGACAACGACAACAAAAGAAAGGAGGAAGGGAAGGTTGAGGTTTAATGGCTTGGGAGAGAGGGGAAAGTGGGCTAACCACAAAACCAAGGTTTGGCAAATACAGGCTGGCAGGCAAGTTGCCATGTAATCGGATCTGTGCTATTGCCTGCTAGTAGGAAGCTGGATCTTTGCCTTCCCCAAACCAGCACATCAGCCAGTTTATAGAAAATGTGATGTGGTTCACCCACACACAAAATATATGAAAAACAAGGCAGCTTTTAAGTCGGTATGGATAAGACCTCAGTTTGGAAATAGGTCCACAGGCACAGAAAGTTTTGACAAGCAAGTTGCAAGAGACATCGCTGTGCTATGCATTCAAGACTTTTTCGCCCTTAGAGGGCAGCCTCAGCTTATGCCATTATTGGGTTTTTAGTTTGCAGCATTCCTAACAAGCAGTTCAAAAGAACTCACCCACTTCCTGCTGCCTGATTTCTGTCTGTCTGATTCAGCTGCAGGCCTGGCATAGCCCAACCATGAGGTGGGGTGAAGGAGCCACCTTGGGTGGCAGAAGCTCCCAAGGTGATGCACCTCACCTGTCCCCACTGACCTTCTGCCACCAGCATCTGTGCTGATATCACCAAGGTCTCCCAAGATGAGATTTCACTGAAACCTCAGCTGGATTTGCATGTGGTAGCAACAAGGTCAAATTGCAAATGCTTGGTGATTCAGAAGTGTCGTGAGGTACTTTAAAAAGGCCCATAACACAAACTGACATGAAATTTGAATGCATTAATTTATATGTATACATGCCTCTGGACACACCCTGTAACCAAAGTGAAACAAATACAATTACAGCGGTACCTTGGGTTACAGACGTTTCAGGTTATAGACACTTCAGGGCACAGACTCTGCTAACCCAGAAATAGTACCTGGGTTAAGAACTCTGCTTCAGGATGAGAACAGAAATAGCATGGCGGCGGCAGCAGGAGGCCCCATTAGCTAAAGTGGTACCTCAGGATAAGAACAGTTTCAGGTTAAGAACGGAGCTCCAGAAAAAAATTAAGTTCTTAACCCGAGGTACCACTGTATGGTGTTTTTTAAAGGAGCAGGAAAGAAGGAGATCGGGCTTGAGACTAGAGGCTTTGGCTCCCTAACAATGTACACCCTCACAAGGGATGCAGGTGGTGCTGTGGTCTAAACCACGGAGCCTCTTGGGCTTGCCGATCAGGTTGGCGGTTCGAATCCCCATGACGGGGTGAGCTCCTGCTGCTCTGTCCCAGCTCCTGCCAACCTAGCAGTATGAAAGCACGTCAAAGTGCAAGTAGATACATAGGTACTGCTCCGGCGGGAAGGTATACAGCATTCCCATGCACTCTGGTTTCCGTCATGGTGTTCTGTTGCGCCAGAAGCGGTTTGGCCACACGACCCAGAAATCTGTCTGTGGACAAATGGAAGCTCCCTCGGCCTGAACGCAAGATGAGCGCTGCAACCCCATAGTCGCCTTTGACTGGACTTAACTGTCCAGGGGTCCTTTACCTACCTTTATCTTTTACAATCTCACAATCCCCTGGGGTGATTATCCACATCAAGTGGGGAGGAGAGAACCAGTAGCAGAGGGCTTGGCTTGCCAGCTTAGGTCAAAATAGACCCAGTACCCTGTCTCTAAGCAGGTCAGACAGGGACAGCCATTGCTCTTTGTCCTCAACACATAGCAGTCCTAGGTAAACTGCCTCTGAAGGTGGAGGCTTCCTTCTTAAGAACCACCACAGAGGCTCACTAATACACCAATCCCCTCTGCATCGTAGAAGCTGCCTACGCAGCTTCTCTACCCTCAAGGCCTCCCATTTATGACTCTGTGCAATGCCTGGCAGGCTCAAAAATGCTTCTCACGGTAGTAGCCCTGAGATATAACTTAAAGGGCCAAATATGAAAACGAAATTGCACAGTGTGAGCCTTTTATAAAGAAATGGAAAAGAGGCAACTGTGCTGTTTGGATCCACCTTCTTCTTTGGGAGTTTGTCGTGCAGGAGTCCCCATATGGGCTAGAGAATCTTCATCATCAGCGCACAAAGTGCTTTTGATGCTTAGTGCTGGGTTATGCTGCCCTCTATGGGCTGGTTTTCAAGAAACACCCAGCTTCCACTCAACACGCACAAACACCTGCCAGAGTAATTGGCCTTGGGCAAATCCCCAAGCCCACATGATGCCTTCCTGTTGCTTAGTTCAGCAACCTTGACAAGGGGAAAGAGAAGCGGGGGGGGGAAAGCTCAAGGTGTTCTGCTGCCTCCTTGTCCTTGTCGCCCCCGTTCTCAGCAAATGCATCCTCCTCGTAGTTTGCACGTGGTGCTATTTTATTGGCTCATATGCATAATAATAAAAAGAACAACTTAGGAGAACAAAAAAGTGTTATCAAAAGTGGATAACCATGGAGCGTCATTGCTCTTGCAAATTTGCAGCCATGCCTGGGGCATTTCATTGCAGGGCAAGCTGTTACCATGCCCAATTCTTACAAAGTAAGTGGCACTGGGAACAAGATCAGTTATGTACTCCCCAGCTTTGCATAGGGCTGCCCGGCTGTAATCCTGTTCCTCGACATTTCTCTGTTTGTTTGTTTGTTTGTTTGTTTGTTTGTTTGTTTGTTTACTTAAGTTTCTACACTGCACCATCATAAAACAACTCTAAGCAGTTTACATTTCTCTCTAATAATGATAATAATTATAACTTTTTAATGTGGACCCCGTGTATCAGACTGGGTTGCCCCAGCTGCTCTGGGCAGCTTCCAAAAGATATAAGAACACAATAAAACATAAAAAACCTTCTGCTCTGCTTTCAGATATCTTCTAAAAGTCAGGTAGTTGTTTATTTCCTTGACATCTGATGGAGGGCGTTCCACAGGGAGGGTACCTGTTATGTACTGATGTTCTCACCCTGGGCCAGCAGAGGAATACTGTAGATAGTTTTTACTCAGGTCCACATATGCAAATAAGGGATTGAAAGTGACGCTCAATGATTGAATAGTTACAGAAAGTGT